GCATAAAATATCAAAATACCTTCCATTAAATTGCAATATCACAAAAAATGAGTATAAAATATGAGTGGTCTTAAAATGCATATATTTTTTGTGTATCAGATACAATAAGCAAGGTGACACAAAATATGTGGATTAAACAGAAAAAAAAAGCTCGTGCTTTTATACTTTTCATCCACTTTGCTTATTGACTAGAACACCAAGCTTCTAAGGAGAACATCGCCTGAATTAGTTGCTTCTGCTTGTAAATATTTTGAAGCAAATATGTCATAGCAAACCATGTGATCGTTGGACGAACGAGTTATCTCTCCATTGTAAAAGATCTCATCAAACCAAGAACCTATGTGTGCCCATAAATGAATTTAACAACTTATTACTTTTGCAGGTGTGCTCTCATGAATCTTCAACTTTCCAGTATCTTCTAATATTAGGTCAATACAATGTGCTACACTTGGTATCCAATAAAAATATTATTTTTTCTCCATTATCTTTTTACCCACATTCACATAATTTGACTCATTATCTGTTATAATTTGTACCACATTTTTCAAAACTTTCTCGATCACATCATCAAAATAATTGAATAGTAACACACAACTTTTTATGCATTAGAGCATCCACGGATCTAAGGAAAAAGTCTCAACTTGACTGTTCATAAGAAAATTAATCAAAATTCTGTTTTTTCTATCTGTCTAACTGTCTAACATAATCGAACACCCATATTTACTCCATGTCTTCTTATGTTCTTCTAACACCTTATTGATTATAGCAACCTCATCTTTTCGTATCTAAGTTCTCAATTCATGCATTGTAGGAGTAGTAAAATTAGATCTAAAATTAGCAACTACTTCAAACATAGACATGTAATATTAGTCACTGGCAAAATTAAATGTCAATGCGGCTTAGTAGCAAAACCTACCAATTGCCCTACATGCTTCTTTTTTTCCACTTAAAATTTAGAGTATAATTTTTTGCTCGTCCTGTGGTGAAAGAATCCATTGAACCTCAAACTCTAGGTGGCCTCTGAGAGGAGCAACTAATGATAAATTTGTAGCATTTTAACCTTCACCAATATTTGTTGCACTGCTTCTAAAATCATTTAATACACTGTCGCGTTGTGCTTTGACTTTTATATCTTCTTCTAATGCTTTCTTGCATCTCTCTTGAACTTCCGTAGGGACTTTAGTACATGGCTTAATACCCTTGTGTGTGTCGATAATATGTTAATTCATCGTGTTTATTGTTCCACTACACCTTGATTGCGGGTATGTTTGTTGCATATTGTCATGCAAAGTCTTTCTTGCTAGTGAGATTACTATCGATCACACAATCTTCCCTTTCCATTACAAGTTAATAACTAATCTAAGACATTAAAAAAAAGATCAAATCCACCTCTAGTAAATTGCAAACATAAAAAAATAATTTTGGTTTGCTGTATATATGAAAAAAATTGCAGTTTATTGTACCTAGAGTGATCTAGCAAATCTTTAATATGAAAGGAAAAAAGGTTATTTATTCACTATAGCAACAACAGTGAAATTACTGTAGCTACAATAACCTCTCTGTAACTACAATTAAATGATAAATTAAAGACTCACAAGAGCATAAACAATTGTAAAACAATCAAATTTCACTGTCCAAAAAGACTCATAAAATTTCAATCTATCTACACTCTATTGTAATAAAAAGACTCATAAAAGCATAAAAGTTGGAAACCTCACTAGTTGCGCCGTTGAGGGAGAAACAATGTGGGTGCGAGAGAGGAGACAATGAGAGTGAGGGAGAAGACAATGCAGACGAGCCTGGGTGCGAGACGAAGATCGCTTGCATGTGGGATGAAGACAATGCAGACGAGCCTGTATGCGAGACGAAGCAGACGAGCCTGTTGTGGGATTACCTGCTAGCGACTAGGGGAGGGAAGAAGCAGAAGGCGACGGGATCTTCTTTGACTCTGCGTGCGATGGAAGAAGCAGAATACTTGCGGGGGAAGACTGCGTGTGGGAGAAGCTCAAGTCGGATAGGTATTTAGAATTAGGAATTTTTTTACCCTTTTTATTCGATTTGGAGGCAGGACGTATGCCTTGTGAGGCGTGTATTGCGCTCTGATTCTTCCCAAGCATAATAACTGCACGATTTAAGCTCCCCTCGTGGGCTTCGGGTGGAAGGCCTTGCGCCCTACCCCAGGGCGTGCCCCAAAAATGCTTTTTTAAACAGAGTTTGATCCTAAATAAATCTTCTTATTATATCATTTTAATTTTTATCACATATCCATCCGAAAACTTCTATTTATGTAATGCTCAAATGAGATATCAATTATCTTTTTTATAGCCTACATTGGAATCCATGCAACATTGTTGGCCTAATTGTGATTTTATAACATTAACATTAGGGTCACCAATTATATTCTCTTACCATATAATATTATGTTTAATTTATTTCTTCTATGGCTTAATTTTATGATTCCCCGGTTTGACTCCCTACATAGTTAACACAACTTTGAACACCTTCTTTTTTCATAAATATTGGTATCCAAATGCCCATTATCCAATTAAATGGCATCCTCGTAAATTGAAACTAACTCCATCTATCTAATTTGGATCCAATACCTTACATTTATGAATCTTCATTGAAACTAACTCCATCTCATTTTTTGGATCAATGTATGCTATTAGTTCATTTTATTGTTCATTATGACCTTACAAACTAATTTCTTCCTTAAAATTCCTTAATGATTTCTTCAAGTAGAAATTTCATTTTTCCTTAAAGTCCTTATGATGGAAATGGACACACTAATGAATAGATTCTTGGAATGGTAGAAATAAGGAATTTTTTCATAAGAATAATTAAAAAAATATAAACATAATTTTATGGAACTCATCAGAGCCTTATATAAGAAAGAGCCATCAAGCCCTACCTTTAGATCACTTAACAAGCAATAGCACAAGAGTTTAACTAATTATAAGCTTAATACAAAGGTTATCAACTATTTATAAAACTTGATTATATGTATGTTGAAACAAAACAAAATACATAAATTCCTGTTGAGAGAGGGAGGGCCAACCATATATTCTTTGATTTTAAAATTGGCCAACCTTTTATAAGCCTTGAATTGTGTCTCACCTCCTTTAAATCACCTTGGTTGGACAAATGCTTCAATAGGAAAGAGGGTACATAAACAATGTAGCATACCATTCACTACATTAAATGAAAATATGACATTCAATCGGACACAATGGAGATAAAGGATTCACGTAGACCCCACTCAGTGGGGGATAAAGGCTTGTTGTTGTTGTAAAATTCATTATATGGCAAATATTGGCATAGTTTATTTGGCAAGTGATTGTTCTTCAGATACTTCATATGTTGTACGTTGGAGATGGTTGGAAGGAGTGGTTGTTAATTAAGTACATGGAGTATGATTTAAATTTAATTTTCACCACCAAACCATTGTTTGTGATCTTTTTCTTTCCTTGTACTTGCTTGTTGGAATTTTAATGTTTTAGACAAGCATTATGGACACTTTTTTTATTGGAAGATGCCTCATTGATGACCATGATGTGCTTCCTTGATCATGATAACCACATACTGAAGATGATTAAAAGTTTTCGTTTCTTACTTATCAAATTCAAGAACTCTATAATTTTTAAGAGAGTTAAAACTTAATATATTGAATTGACATGCCAACGTAGTTTTGTAGAAGAGAGACCTAGAATTTTTGTTGAAACAATATTTCCTTTCTTAATATTGTCCCAAAAAGAATTGAAATTTACCAAAAGATTAACATAAAATAGTCACCAAACCCTTAAACATTGTGTATGATTGATGGGAAAAGGAGAACAAGTAAATTAGAGCAAATAAGGTTTGGACAAGTTCACGAATCAAAGCTTGAAATTTTCTTTAAAAAAAAAATAAAGTGGAAGAGGTCACCAAAATTCACCTAGCAAATAGGATGAGGATCTGCATTGTTATCTGAGAAGAATTAAAGCATGAATGATGGAATAGTTGACAAAGTTAATATTAATCATAATATTAGCAGAAACATACAATCATTATTTCATATAACGCAACAAAGCTTCATAAAGGAGGGTGACGCAAAGCCCTACCAACCACATTGCTTCATAAACAACTGAATGCAAGAATTCAACCAAACTTAAAACAAAATGTTTAGAAACATTCAACCTATCATAATCATAATTCTAGTAGTGAACTCATCAAAATAACCTACATTAAAAACCAACTTAAAACGTCCTCTCTAATTGATGGAATAAAACAGAGCAGATAAACACTTTCAATTCTAGTTCTAAGTGCTACAAAGTTAATGACCATAAATGAAATTAACTCTGTTGATCTCATTCCCATCATTTTACTCTGATCGGTAGTTAAAGTTTAGAGAGAGGGAAAGGATTTTGTAAGAAAGTGCAAACTTTCTTATGACTCTCAGGGTAAAACAAGTAGAAAACAATAATAATAATAATAAATGAAAGGGAAACTAATTCATCGCAAGAAGGATTTTGTTTCTCCCCAAAATAAGTGAAGGAGAGAGGACTTTGGATGGTGAACTCATAATGATTCCGACATCATACTTGCCGTCATAAGAAAATAAAAAATTATTCCCTATTAATCATAGCCTAATCATAGTTCTTTTTGTGACGATATATATGCCAAATTAATTACAAGATTTATTTTCCTTTCATTTCTTTCCACTCTCAATCAAGAACGAGTGCATAATTTATTTTATCAAAATCTCAAATAAAAGTTTAGAATTTGTCTCCTCAGTACTACTTCTCTCTCCGCTTAGGCCAACTCCCATTGAGTGCTCGTACGAGATCCTTCTGAAACAAAAAAAAAAACGATAATCTTGCATGCATATCTCTCGATGCATCTCTGTCAGCAGCAAATACAGCTAAAGATTATGAAAATACGAGTTATTCCGGCCGTTAGTTTACCAAGACGTGGATCTCAAAAAGTAAAAAACAAATCAAACTCCGAACGACTAGCGTTACCTGTTGAGAACCCCCGCTGCCTTTGCCCACACAAAGAGAATAGTCACCAGCAGCAACAAAACCCTTGATACAAGTGACAAAAGAGTATATCCAGATAACTCAAATATCACCCAAGCCGCAAAGGTTCCAAGCAGTATTCCAATCGTGATATGCCTTCTTCTCCAAAGAATCACATCTGCAACTGTTAAAACAATACGATTAAGATCGCACTAATTAAGCATTAGACCAAATTATTAAATCAGGAATCAGTCCACGCCCATCCCAATCTAAGAATCTGGCTAGATTGTGACAATCCAAATAAGAAGAAACTGACTTACGCAGTCCGCCGCCGAGCAGCTCGTGGACACTTCTCCGCCTCCGAGATCCCATGCAACAAAGCAACAAAAAGGCCGCCGATGGTTGTGAGATGCAGAATAGTGAAGAAGGTATGAGCTCTGACAATGATGAGAATGTCGACAGGGGAGGTGGGGTTGGAATATATGGGTTTCCAGCCTAAAAGCAGAGGAACCACCATAGTCGTTCGTCATCTTTGTTCCTTCTACTGGTATATGGAAAACAAATGCACGCAGGCCACTTTCCAGTGCTGTTAGGTGGAAAAGAAGAGGGGTCGGATGTGAAAATGTGAGTCATCAATAGGGAGCTGCAGAGACATAAGAGCCCTTCGATTTGGGTATCTATTTGCGCTTCTTTGAGATTGGTGAAAGTGAGCTTCTTCAAAGCGCATTCAAAGGCTTTGAAATGGGTGGATTATGTTTCGTGCGCCTGGTTTTGGGTTATAAGTGTTTTTTAACGCTGCTCGGAGGACAAATTTGTTATAAAAAGTTTTGTTTTTTTTAATAAGGGCATTTACATTCACACCACCCAAATGTTATAAAAAATTATTACTATCAGTATTACGCACATAGAAGTAACGTGCGTAGTTAATGAAATCACGCAAAGACATCTCGTGCGACAGAAAAAAAAACGGCACAGTAACACGGGGAATATTCCCCCCTGTGTTATTCATGTGTTATTGTGTGTTATTCATGTGTTATTGATGTGTTATTGTGTTATTATAACACCAATAATATTCTCATGACACAATAACACATGAATAACACAGGAAATATTCCCAACTGAGAAAAAAACGGCGCAATAATACGGAGGAATATTCTCCCTCATGTATTCATGTGTTATTGTGTGTTATTCATGTGTTATTGATGTGTTATTGTGTTATTATAACACTAGGAATATTCTCAGAACACAATAACACATGAATAACACACGATAACAAATGAATAACACGGAGGGAATATTCCCCGTGTTACTGTGCCGTTTTTTTTTCTCGGTTGCGCAGGGTATTGTGGTGTAATTTCGTTGGCTACGCACGTTACTCTATGTGTGTAGTACTGATGTAATATTTTTTCTAAATGTTATGCATTTACGTCATATTTATATCCCTCAAATCTTTGATATCACATCAAAAAATACAATAATCTTTACTATATAAAAATAGGCATACAGGACACACCTTTTCATCCATAGGGGATGTAAAAAATGAAGTTTGTGTTTTATGTATAAATACATAAGAATTGAGTGATTTGTATGAGAATTCTCTTTTTAATAGAGTATAATATGCTTAAAACATTATTATATGTATAATTTATGGGTAGTAGGATGATCATTACTTCCCTAATTTTGCAACTGTTTGAGTTAAAAATTTAAGGACCCTTTTAGATTTTTTTTTTTTTGTCATGGAGAATTCACGGAGGTAGAATAATAGATTATCATCTCAACATAGCACAAAATACAACACTTGCTCGGGTATTAGAAGAAACATGTATAAATGCCAAAATTTTTACCGTTAATAACTTGAAAAGTAAAAACATTATTGTACCTAGCCAAACAGAAATAATCAAATATAGCTTAATAAGTATAAAAACATGTTCTTGTCACCGACGAGAATTTCGTCAAAACCATGTTAGAAATAATCCACTATAGATTATTGTCTAGACTTTCTTCAACGTCTCTATGTTCTTCTTATGTCATATCTTTGGTCACTGGTAAAAATATCGTCAAAATCATGAGAGAAATAATTCACTATAGATCATTGTCTTGATTTTCTTTAACGTCTCTATGTCCTTCTTACGTCATGTTACCGTCATGCTTTCCTTTTATTTAGGATGAATGTCATCAAGACCGTCCTCAATAGCTTCCATGAATATTTTACATTGCTTCATTTATGCTCTTCAAGTCATGTGATGATCGCCTCTAAGTGGAGGACCATCTTGCTTATTTCATCCACTGCCATTGGTTGTGATACATTCACATCAAACAGAAAGAACCATTCAAGCCATCCTCAATAACCTCCTTGGCATTCTTGTGCCTTATCATTCATCAATATTAGTCATTCACTTATTTTCATCAAGATAAAATTATTCCAATAATAAATTCTTTTTGCATCATTAGTATTAAATATACTGACAATAAATGTTTATGCTTGCTTTGTATTGACACATTCTTTGAGTTCAAGGAAGGGTTGCACTTCTATATTCAAATCTATTGTTATCTTGTCATTCTTGTCCCGCCCATACACATCATTTCTATAGTTTGAGGTGCTATGATTGATTTGTAGAGAGGGTCGAGTGTGGGTTAGGGCACCGTCCTCCACCTCTCCCGCAGCTTTCCTACTGATCTCCCTCTTCTCCCAATCTTCATCTCTCCCGATTTCGATCGAAACCATCGCCTTTGTGATTGAAACCGTGCGATACATTTGCAATTGGAACTACTTGGGAAGTCAATCGTAGGTTCGCAGCATACAGAGACCCGAAACTCTCACATTCCCTTTCCTTTTGTTTGCTCCTACCTGAAACCATCGAAGAAGGTAACACTCGTCTGCCCTCACCTTCCTCCATCTCGTGCACTTAAGGTTCTCTAAATCCCGCAAATCCATCTTCCACAAGATTCGCTGAATTCTAAGTTAAGGCAAGCATATGAGAAACGAGATATAAGATTTTATAAGCTTGAATATATATATATATTTTTGTTAACTTACAATTCTTTCTTTTACAATACTATAATATTAATTTAATAAGAAACATTAATTTAACAATAATATAATTAACAAGGGTCTATTTGATTTCACCAAATTTATTAAATAAATAAGTTAAATTTCATAATTAACTGTCTTATTTTCTAAATGATGTAGGATTGCTAGTCAAATCATCAAACTTGTAGAAGTGTCATGATTGCAATCTCGAAGAAAATAACTGTTGTTTATTGGATGATAAACTTACACTTCCTAGTTAAAGGCATTATTTACTGTTGATTGTAGTAGAATCACATTTATTGTTTATTTTTGTCAATCCAGCTATTGTCACTTCAATTATGATATTATACTTGTTAGAGACTTGGTTTATTTTTTACTAGTTGTCTTAATTTATTGCTGCATATTTGAATAATTATGTAGTTATAGTGTTTTTTTCTTGCATTTTATGAACTTGTATATGGATTCACGTTATATCATAAGTTTGTGTAAAATTACATACTTCTTGCATATTATGCTCGTGAAAACAAATTAGTATGTTTATGTGCGATGATATGTAGATCGGTAGAACCCTTCTATATATTAAGTAGCTGATTGATGGACTCACAGAGTGATGACTCCATTGAAAATCACTGGGTTTTATTGGGTTGATATTTGAGATTCCAAGTTTTAGGATGTATGTTAAAACTGACTATATATACATTTACTATGATTTCATGTTTCGTATGATATGCATATTTGATATTTATCTCTCTATTGTTGGCCTTACAGTGTTACATATACACATGGTGACTATTCCTCATCATTCATATTGCATACCTCATTTCTTTTGCTATTTATGTTTTAATAGATAGTTGTTATTTACTGAGTTCATCAAACTCATTCTTAATATTTTTTGCATAACAAATTCTATTCAACCACCAGTAGAATCGTCTCCACCGAAGAAAACCTTTCAGTTTTAGTTTCATAGTTTGGGTATTTTTCTGCAGTATTTGTTTTAGCCATTGTGTTTTCTCTTGTCAGATCAAAGTAGTTGTCCCATGTTATTATTTTTGTGTTGATTTAACGAGCTTCTATTTTCAGTCTAGTTGTAACATTGAACTTTTCAGCATTAATAAAATTCACATTTTTTTTTATTTGTAATGCAAAACTTTTTTTGAAAATACAAAACAAGTTTATATTATTTCATCATGTCCAACATTCCCGACGTGTACCGTCTTTCGAACTCAAGGTGTGACAGGATATGCCAGCTTTTATTGATGAGCAAAAGGGCACAAAAAAAATTGACAAATAGTGTAAATGAAAATACTCAAAGGAACATCTTCAATTCAACTTTTTACAAAACTTCAAATGATTTTATGCTTCTTTATGAATAACAAACAAAATTTACATGATAATTTATTTATTTTCTAATGCAAAGGTACAAATAGAATCATCAATATAATCCGATGATTACTCAAGTACTTTAGTGGATATTGTCCATTATAATAGAGGCATTTACATGCACACTGCCCAACTCTTATGTTTTTTACATATCTAACAACAAAACCTTTTTTTTTTTTTTACATTTAAACCACCCAATCTCTCTTATAACATAAAAAATTTAAATATTTTAACTTTAAAAAATTAAAATAATAAATATAGAATAAAATAGATCCATAAGTCCGAGAACACATACTTTCCCCTATCCAGGTTTACTCTTCACTTTCTTTTACTCTATCTCTTCCACTCTGGACCTTATTTAAATATGTAAATACACAAGGCATACATGTAAATCTAACTACATAGCTCCATACGTTAATTTGCCACAGCAGACGAACATTATTCACCGGTCGGGCCAGTCCCGAAATATCTATCCAGACGCCCAGCCAATCGGGCGAAGGCCGCGAAGCTAAGGTGAGCCGCGGAATGGAGAGGCCTGATCGGAGCGACTCGCATCTACCACCAGAGGAGGAAGCGAGGAGGGAGGAGGAGACGCGTGAGTATTTCGACGGCATAGCACCAAGGCGCCACTCGAAGCCTTCTCGGAGCGAGTACTCATCCGTCTACGTCGATGATCTGAGCCCCTCCGACCGAGATTCCATTCCCGAAATTGACAAGCTTCGCCATTTGGAAGCTGATCACGAGGTTCTTTTGTTTTACCTCAACCCTTATTTACTTTTCCATGTGACGCTTGCTTCTGATTCCTTCTTCTCCTCGTTATTCTTCTTATTTTTACATAGAAGTTGGTCTGTGATGGGAGTGAAGTGAAGGAAGAGTATGTGGAGACCGAATACTATAAGGATCTGAATGGCGTAGAGAAGCAGCATCATACGGTTTGATGAAACTCTTCTCCTCTGTTCCTCGAAGCCTCTCTTCTTCTTTCCGTGTCGAATACATAGTTAGAGTTAAACGATCTGATCTCTTTCGGCTGAAAACAAATCGTTTAAGTTGACTTGAATCGGTTTTATTTTTCAATATGATATCCTGTGATAGCCAAGCAACTCACTGTGGAAACAGCGCCGGGATAAAATGAGATTTGACACGAAATTAAAAACTTTTATGTTTTTTTCTTAAACAAACCTATATACGCGAGAGATTAGATATGATTTGGTCTGCTAAATATAGAAGCCATAAAACACCGTGTACATTATAAAGAGCATTTACTAGCCATTGTAAGTCCAAGTTCACTCACATCCAAACAAAAAAGTCAAATAGAAACTATTAACATTAAGATCGCTACATGTCACTAGGATGTTGGGCACCAAGGTGTAGCTTAGAGCTGATCCAAAACAATTTTTTATTGGGGGCACAACTTTATGATTATAAAAATATCCTCACCTAAGTTAATTTATCAAATCCTTAACAAACACAGTAATATTTCAATTTATGGATTAAACTAAGCTTTAATCATTTGTTTAATTTTACTGAATTATTTATAAACAAGTATATAAGGAGAAACCAAGGGAGAGGAGGTGGGAGAGGCGGGGTGGGGGGGAGGTAATTGGTAGATGAATAGGTGGCGAAGATACGCGTGACTCAGTGACTACATGAAGGCCTATGTGGGGGCAAGGTAAGATGTAATAGATTATGAAATAGAGTTGTCAATGAGAGAAAAAGGGGGGAGAGAGGCTCATGGCCAAAGATGGGGTAGTCATTGGGTGACAACTGTGAGCACATCTCTTGGTAAGGTGAAGGTGAAGGAAATTGAAATGCAAGCTATAGGAAATGCAGTGGAAATTTTAAATCAAAACTAACATCAAATTTATCAAATTTAAGAGACATTTTAAAAAAACTAAATGATGATGGTGAATTTAGTGAACTTCGCCAAACCAATGGGGGCATGGCTCTCCAACGCCATCATTGTTGATGCACCCTTGAGAAAGCTCTTTAGAGAGAAGCTAAAATGGAGCGATTTGCACGTCAAGAAATCTTAGCAGCGAGGGAGTGTTCGGGTTTCTCTGAATTTCTCATAGCCTTAGCCTTGAGCTATGTTTTGGAAGTTTCTACGATTGGCTTGAGAAACTTTAGAGGCGATGTTTATACTTATCTATTCGAGGTTGGCATGCATTCTGAGGAGCATATGTGTAATTCTTGAGATGCTTCCTCATATTATTATAGGCCTATAAGGGAATATTACTCAATATATATCGAGTTAGTTTAACAAAATTTTCTCTTAACTCAATATTGTATTGATGGCGTCTCCTTTGACTTTTCTTCAAGCGTAGCACTCTCAACAACATTGAACCCCTAAAGGCTTAACATCGCGTATTTTTGAACATCTATGAGAGACCTTTAGAACACATCTTTTACATGCAAAGATGGATTCGTAAATATTAAATTTGCACCCGGCACAAAATTTTTATATTTCAAAATTGTTCTCTTTGATGGAAATACCTCAATAATTTGACCTGATATTTTAACACGGGGTAACATAAATTTGTTATGTTTGTTCACCTCCTAAAATCTTTGGATTCATTCATACATGATTTTATTCTTGATTTTTTTTTTTTTTTGCAACCTGTAAGCTAACCCTTTTTTAGTTCCCCAAGATACAGTCTTGAACACAAACCATAATCTCTCCTTTGTTGCATCTTCAAAAACTTCTGTCAAACATATCTGAATCATTGAAATAATATTGGAAGTTTGAACCATTATATTTCTTAATATCAAATTTCATGGCATTAAAATCAGAATTATGCTCAATGCTATACATGCCTAACTTATATTATATAATTAAGAAATTTTCGAAAAATTCAATATATTGTATAAAACATGCAGACCAAATAATTTTACCATCATACAAAATATTTAATTATGAAATATAATTGTTATTAAAATTATGCTTATTATTCTTAAATTTTAGACGAATCAGAAGAAGCTAAGAACGTAACTTTTATAATCTTATTTATCAAAATAATATATAGTTAAGAAATACAAATAACTGCTCTATATATCTCAAAATATTTCAATAATTTTAAAATCGAATTTATCGTATTGAATTAGAATATTTAAATTCAAATTTCATTAGGTTTAATTTATTTGTGCAATTCTAAATTTTGATTTCAAAGTAATTTCAAAAGATATACTTTTGTAACTTCTGCATAATGCCCAAATTTAGCACAGCGGTTTAAAATTTAGAAAATAAATTATATATATATATA